GGTTATTCTGGAGGTTCTCGACGGAGAGATAAGCCTTGCAAACGGTGGCTCAATAATATGGAAGAGGACCAACAACAGCTAAAAGTTATATGATGGCACACCAAGGCTATGGATAAAGCAGAGTGAAGCAGATTAATGGAGGAGGCTTTGGTTCTTAATGGACTATAACGCCATGCAGAGATGGGGAGAGAGAATAATATTATTCAGCAAAAGCTCAATTTGACACCCATTCCCCAAAGATTTTAATGAAAATTTATATATATATATATATATATATATATATATATATACACATACATACATATATACATATTAATATATATATATATATATATATATATATATATATATATATATATATATATATATATATAAATATATATATATATATAATATGTATCTATATATATACAAATATATTTTATATATATATATATATATATATATATATATATATATATATACACAAATTTAAATTTAAAATTAAATTTAAATTTTAAATACTCAAATTTAAAAAAAAACAAATGCAAACTTTTATCTATTCCATTCAAAAGATTTAAAGAAAATTTTATTGTTTGTTGCAGATGGCAGGTTTAGTTGGCCAAAAAATTAACATTTAATATAAATATGTTTTAAGATGTATATGCATGTATCCATAAAGAAATATTTTTTAACTATTCACAATAAACAGTACTTCACTTATATTATTTCTAAATATCTTACACTTGTTTGTTCCTTTCAACGTTCTTGGTATTAATAAAACAAATATAACTATTTAATCAGATAAAAAACAAAGTATACAAGTAAGGGGTGCCCAGAAGGAGGTTTCATGAAATATTTTGATGGGGCATATTTTGCTGGGTTTTTTAATTTTTTATGGGGGTAAATTTCTATGGGGTTATGCATTTTCGGACTGAAGGATAAGGAACAGACTGCAGCAAGTATAATTGTACATGATCTACTATTTTCTAATTTTACCTTGCTCTCTTTTTAAGAAAAGGTGAACAATAAAATATTTTGGCAGGAGGAGGGGATAGATTCCTGCGCCATTAACCTTGGGGGAGTGTAGAGGGGGGGGGATAAATACCAGTATGACAGGTGTGCTTTACTCCTTCGGAACAATCTTCGCATAATGAGACATGGTCACAATATAAAATCATTATTTCTTTCGGATTTACTCTACATGCATCATATAATTCATTATCTGATAGTTCCCTTCCATCTAGTGCATTTCTCCTCATTTCTCTCCTCTTTTCTTCAAGCCTTCTTTTTGTTCTTTTTCTGTTAACCTTAGCTCTTTCAGAGTCCTATTGTTCAACAACAATTACTTAACATAACGATTCCAATGCTTTCAAAAAGCAGTGTCAACTACCTACTTGTTAATTTGTTGTTTACATCTTTGTTTACAGGGTGCTGTAAAATTTATTATTTTAATAATAATTTGATATTTTAATTAGGTGTGGCAGGTAAGTATGCAGGTTTTACTCTGTAGAGCAAGATATTTACTGTCCGTCCTGGTAACTGCACTAAAAATATTTTTCTATTCCATTTAGGATCTATATATAGTCCAGAGTATGGTGGTACCAGTGGATGTTTGAAGCCATTGTCGTTGATGAATACTTGTGTACAAGTCTTGAGGTCTTTGTGGATGAATGGTTTTATGAATGATGTTTTTGCTTGAGCTGGTCGAAGGTTGGAGATGTTATTTTCAGTTCTAGGAGAGCTTTTTGTGGTTCGTAACTGTTTTTATTAATTTCAATGACCTCTCCTAGAAGACGGATAGGGCATTCTTAAACAGCTTCGGCAGTGCTTAAAGGTGTTTCGTAACATATACTTACGCGGAGATCCAATAAGAGTGTTGGTAAGATTTTTTTTGCAATATGCGCTATTCATGGGGACGGTGATGGCAGATTTCAGATGCCATCCCTTGATGCAACCATTGAATTGCGGATGATATCCAGTCATATGTATCTCTGTATCCCAAGTAGTGTTGTGAGTTATATAAAGAGTTTTGATTCGAACTGAAGGTCTTGTTCGGTGGTTATTCTCGACGGTACGCCGGAACGACAGATCCATTGACTATAAAAAGCTTCAGAGACGATTTTATCAATTTTATCATGAAGAGATATCAGACCAACGTGTTTGGCGGTCAATCATAGTGAGAAAAAGCTTTCTGTCTACATTTGAGAGAGAGAAAGTCTTGCCAAGCCTATTGTCAGTTCACAAAGGAGACACTTATCTAATCCTGGAATTTCAACTTGTTTAGGTGAAAGATTTAAAATCCAGAGGTTCTAGTTAGGGGTGGTTAGGGTTTTTCGATTCTAGATACGGTGTGAGCCACAATATTGTTCTTCCCTGGTTTATACATAATCTCGGTGATAAGAATTGGACTAATGTAATAAAGCCAACGAGTAAAAATTGGAGTTACCGTTTTGGTTCGGGATTTTGGTTAAATGCGAGCTTCAATGGAGAAGAATCTTAATGGATATCAGTTGTTATCCTTCTTTTGTTTGAAGCTTCCATAGAAAGACCTTGTCGTGACTTGAGGGATCTGCTCTCTGAAAGGTTGAATTCGGTAAATTTCTGAGAGTGTTAGAGGAAAAACGGTTCTATATCACTGCCTACATTGATCCAGCTACCGTGTTGGCCTGCAACAACAGAGCTGAAGTCAAGAGAGAAGCAGAACGATGCCTTGGCCTGGTCGTGAAATGGTGAGGGGAAAAATATGTGGATGGTATCTGCAAGACTCCAGGCCCTTAAGGGCAAGACTGATTGGGCACACCCTATAACAATGAACATAGAAGGTCACAGGATACGTCCAAGTGAGGTGGTAGCCTATCTAGGAGTTAGGTTTGATTTAATGTCTAATGTCTTATGTGGTTAAAGAGGCCATTTTAAGTCAATTAATAATCATAATGATGTAGTGATGGTTGGCCGTGATATAATACGAGGAAGAATTGGTCGAGGGATGCGGTCAAATAAATAATACATTTTAAAAATACTATTTTTTTAAAATTTAGTATTTATTTGACCGCACTCACCGACCAATTCCTTCTCAATTAATAATCGAGTTTAAGTATAACTAAAATACCTTTTCCCCCAGTTTTTTGAGCTCATATTGTTTCGATTCAAGGGATCTGAGTACTTACTGCCATCAAAATTAAAAATCGATCAAGTCATCCACTCGAAAAATCTCTACGCACCTCTTAGCGGGTTGATTAAACACACTTCACACAGTGACAGAATTCTGAGCTGAAATTATTTCAAAACATTAACGGAATCTTACGAAATAATATAATATATCAAACTTAAAAATCGAAACAGCCGTTCGTTCAAAACAGCGTTACAAAGCTTTTAGCCGACACCCCGAACACATTACTCTTATGTTGCTTTGCTTTCTAAACACTAACGGGACTTCACCGAAAAATATAATATATCAAACTTAAAAGTCGATCTAGCCATTCGTTTAAAACAACGCTACAAAGCATTTTGCAAGTTGATTAAACACATCTTATTTAATAACTAGTCAATATTTTAAGCTCAAATCGTTTCAAAACACTAAGGGAATATTACCGAATAATTTGAGCCATCAAACTTAAAAATTGATTTAGCCACCCGCTCAAAAAAAAGTGTTATATAGCTTTTAGTGGACGATACACTATACACCAAACACATAACCGACGTTTCACTTGGGCGTTAAATTGCTAGGAGAATTTTGATGAAACTTGGCTATAGTCTCCTACTTAAAGACCTTTAAAATTCGTATGTGTAGTACATTCTCGTGACAAAGAAATAAAGAAAAGAAATTTTTTCGGGACATGAGTAACTGAAATACAAAAACCACTATTAATAATCATTATTGTAATGACTGCATCACAGCACATTTCATTTTATTCACAAGTTTTATTTATTTCCTATCGCTAGGTTAACATGGTATTGTAATCGGGTCAAATTTGGATGTTGGTTCTGGTGGGATAACGTATTTTCGTCCTTTTATTGTAAGGCAAATAAAGTTCTTAAGAAACTAACAAAAAAAAAAAATCCTCCGAATAGACTAGTATTAGGCGTGTATAAAAACAAATATATATAGATTTAGATACATTTAAATAGATGTCAGGAGTATTCCCTAACTCGCCCAAGTGGGGGAGGGGGGAGAGAATTTTATTTCACACATTGATTTGTCTCTCACCACTACACTGAGTTAAGGTGGCTCTACCCCTCCTTCCGAAGACAATACTTTCTAGGTACGTTCCTCTACCAAATCATCAACAACCATCGTCCTTCTTACGCCTACAACCTTCTCCAGTTCAAATCCTCAGTCCATTCCCTCTCCACAAGATCTCGACCTTCTGACCTTTACATGCCTTCTCACAGATCTGCCTCATTCCAAAATTCCTTTATTGTTCGCTCTGTCAATTTCTGGAATTCCCTCCCTATCAAAATTCGACATTACCCCTCCATATCCACATTCAAATCCCTCCTATTCCAATTCCTATCACAAAAACAGTCAGATACTTGCTAACCATTCGAGCGGATTTTAATAGAGAATTTGATATATTTTTATTTTTTAATTCTTTATTTTTTTCGGAAAAGTGTATACTGGTCTAAATAGCTTTAAGTTTCTTGTCATAGTATTAATGGTTTTGTATATAGTTTAGTTTGTTTTGTATATAGAGTTTTTACCTTATATTTTTTTTACATTATTTCTTTTTTTCGATTTATTTTGTTTTGGCCAGATGTAATATTTTAATTTTGTTCTAATTTGTTATTCTCAAGGGACTGTGTCCCAGAATACAGTTATTTTTCTAAAAAAAAAAAAAAAAAAAAAGTTGTCTGAAACAATGTGCTGCTCTTTTCTAGTCTTTTTAGCCTACGAACAATATGAAAGCCTATGATTTCAGGTGAAGAGGAAATACTAAAAAAACACACAATTTATTATTGAATAATTTTATTTTATTAAAACAATACATTATATATCAAAATGACTTTTTAGTAAAGACGTTTTTTCAGGCAGATATTTTTGCAGGAACATTTTATAACAATGTTTTACTGCTAACAACCATTTGCAATTTACTTTACTCTCTTCTGCATCTTGACATGGAGTCCGTCGATAGGATGGACAGTTATGAAAAAAGTTTTAGTATCGAACATCAAAGGGGTTCTTGTCTTTGTTCCCGGTAATATTATGTATTCAGAAATTATTTTCGCTATTACAGTCTTCATCGAAATGTATGAATACCTTTTCCCTGAAACATTGTTAGTTGAATTATTAAATAAATTAATATTGTAATCATTAGCATAATTAATACATTAGATATTAATGAAATTATGTCTCCCCGAAATCCTTCCAGTTCTCCTTTTCATCTACAATTTCTCCCTACAGAACTCAATATTCCCTTCCTCTTGGAAAAAAGGCATTGTACTCCCTTTAAATAAAAAGCCTAATCCATCCTCTCCCGAAGACTTTCGCCCAATCTCAATTCTTTCCAATCTCTCAAAACCCCTAGAAAGATTGGCACAATTTTTCCAATCCAATCTAATCCAAGTTTCCAATTTCCTCTAAAAGTCCAACCAACTTGATCCTCTCCAATCTGGTTTCCGTCCCGGCTACTTCACACAATCCGCCTTAATCAAAATTACTGCAATAGATCCTGCAGTTCAGACTGCAATAGATAATAAACAATTAACTGTCCTTATACTTCTTGACTTCTCTAAAGCCTTCGATTCCATTAACCATCCCATCCTTTTCAACAAACTAAAATCACTTTCCTTCTCCAATAGCTCCATCTCTTGGTTCCAATCTTTTCTCTCACAACGCACCAAAGCAGTCTCCATTCCTAATCAACCACTATCTGCCTACCTGCCTTTATTCTCTGGAGTTGCCCAAGGATCTAGCATATCTCCTCTCCTTTTTAGTTTTTGGTTCCAAGCCCCTCCTTAGATCCTATACCGACTTTCCCATACTAAACCTTGGCGACCAGCCAATCTCCTTCTACTCCTCTGTAAAAAATTTAGGACTATTTATTGATCAAATCCTCTCCTGGAGTCACCATATTTCTCCCGAACGACAGTTTCTACTCTCAAACTATTCCATCGCTTCCGCCATCTCCTACCTCAACATACGCGTAGACTCCTCGTTTCCTCTCTCATCTTCCCCCACTTTGACTATAGTTGTGTGGTGTATGATGGACTCTTGGTTGAGCTCCGTGACAGACTGAAAATAATAATGAACAGTTGCATGAGATTTGTAATTGGTGCCCCGAGATACTCCCATGTCTCTCATCACACCGTCAGTACTTCCTAGCCACCTTTCTGTACCAAATTATTAGAACCCATCGACCCTCCTATATTTTTCACAGCTTACAATTCAAATATTCCATCCAATCCCGTCCCACCAGATCTCGTACTTCCGACCTCTATCCTCCTCCTCACCGAACTGCTGCGTTTAACAAATCCTTTGCAATACAAGCCGCCTCCCTCTGGAATTCCATCCCAGCTGATATTCGACACGCTCAATCAGTTTCCTCGTTTAAACCTCTCCTCTTTAAGCGCCTACTCCTTTCTCAATCCGAATGATTGTGAAATATATCTAAGAGAAATATCTGAGCACCACCAGAGACTACCTCAATTTATTAAGGTTATTTTAGTTTCTCATACATATGTACAATTTACTTGTTCTTTTCTTTCTCTTTTCTGTATTTTTATCGTAAGTCAACTTTCATTGTAAATATACAATTTAATTGTAGCCACACAGACATATAATCTGTATTCATATTTTGTTCTTAAGGGACAACAGTCCCAGAATAATAAAACATTTTTTTCATTTCATTTCATTTCACTACACTGTGTGAAAGTGGCTCTTTCCCTCCATTCGAAGACAATATTTCCTAGGTACGTTCCGCTATCAAATCATCAACAATCATCGTCCTTCCTACGCCTACAACCTTCTCCAATTCAAGTCCTCAGTCCACTCCCTCTCCACAAGATCTCGACCTTCCGACCTTTACATTCCTTCTCACAGATCTGCCTCGTTCCAAAACTCCTTTATTGCTCGTTCTGTTAGTTTCTGGAATTCCCTTCCTATCAAAATTCGACATTCTTCATCCTTATCTACATTCAAAACCCTCCTATTCCAATTCCTGTCCCAAAAACAGTCAGATACCAGCTAACCTTTTATGTAAAATTACATATTATCTATAATAACATATTCACATATAGCTCATAACCTAAATACTTATTATAGATTCGACTTTCTTTTTTTCTTTTTTTTTTTTCAACAGAAACAGATTTTACTGTTAAGAAGAATTTACATTTATTTTTTCTGTATTTTTTATTTTTTCTAAAAGGGTTTATTTATATTTTAACATTGTACATAGTTTTAAGTATCTTAGTATGGTTTCAAGAGTTTTTTATATAGATTTTTTTATTTTATTTTGTATATAGTATGTATAACCAATATTTTTTTCTTTTTTTTTTTTAATGATCTATCTTTATCTTAACTTTTTATGTTTGTTTTTATCTGGCCAGATATAAAATTTTAATTTCTGTACTTTTTTGTTATTCTGAAGGGACTTCGTCCCAGAGTAAAATTATTTTTCTATTCTATTCTATTCTATTAGATAATAAAATGTGAGTAATGCACCGATTTCAATGATTTTATTTTATTTTTTGTGATTTACATTGAAAATAAATCAAAATGTCATTATCTATTGTGCACAATGGACCTTAGGGGTTGAGAAAAAAAAAAAAAAAAAAGAACTGAGATTGCATAATTTTATATCTCTAATTTGTATAATGAAATCAAAATGTTATTAACTTTTTTATTTCTGTTTTGAATTAATACCAAATTTTCAAAAGCCACAAAATTATGTTTCATCTTTAATTTCTGAATCTCGGTTTTACTTTTATGAACTCACTGAAAAGAGAAGAATTTATTCTTTCCATATTTGTGAACATTTATTGAACGAAATTAAATGTCCTAAATGAGAAAACGTGATAATGAAATAGCAATAAATTTAAAATTTCTTTGCGGATAATTTAAATTTTCAAAAAAATAGGAATATCTCATAAAAAATTATTTGACCAAAAAGAAATTATTTTTAGTTCATGAATATTTCCTCAACAACGGAATTTTAATTTACAAACCCAGACTAAATAGATGTAAATTTGGATAATATCTTTGACGATGTATATATATATATATATATATATATATATATATATATATATATATATATATTTGTAATTTCAAATAAATTTTTATTTATTATTATAAAATTATATTAACCTGTTATTTCAAACATAGTAAATATAATTTTATTTTATTTTAAAAATTAGTTCTTACCTATACATGTTCTTGGCCCTTTACCGAATGGCATGAAAAGAGCTTCTGATGTTTGTTCATCGGTAAATCTTTCCGGTAAGAATTTTTCTGGTTCTGGAAAATATTCTGGATCTATATGACAAGAATAAGCAGGTAGGGTGACGTCCATGCCTTTGGGTATCGTCAACTTGTCATTAATCTTATACGATTCGGTACAAGTTCTCTTTAAAACTCCCAGCAACGGATACAGGCGCAAAGTTTCTATAAACAGTTTACAAACATAAAATAAATTAGTGTTTTTAAACCGATAGCTGGAGTAATCTTTATCTCTTTATTTTTGGAGTAGAAAAATTAGCTTGGCGTTCCCTAGTCTGATTTAAATAGTGTATATAGGTATGTCTGATTTTTTTTTTTTAAATTTACTGATCTTTATGTTATTTAATTTATTGTATATACTTTTTGTATTTTTGTTATTTTGCTTACGTTCATTTTATATTTCCTTACTTATTATAGTGAAGTAAGACAGTAACTTCACTATAATTATTGTTTATGTGACAAAATATTATCTTAATCAATAAATAAATAAAAACATTAACTACTATATATATATTCATCTTGTTCCTTATTCTCCTACCCATCACACATAATTTTTTGCTACTTGGTTAGACCTCTTTATCACTGACACTCATATCCAGTGCCATTTTTTTCATCACATGACCTGATCCAAATTACTTACGACTTGAAATCAAATAAACGACTAGGAGCCTAGTCACCTCCTTAATTTTCCCCCACTTTGACTATTGCTGTACGGTATATGAAGCGTCTCTGGGGACCTCGAGGCGAAACTATGATGAATTGCTTTCTACGATTCATCTTCGGGATCACAAGGGATGCCTCTGTTTCCCATTTTTATGCCGAGTTGAAGTGGCTTTATCCTTCCTACCGTCGCAAATATTTCCTGGCATCCTTCCTCTTTCAAGTCATCCAATCCCACCGCCCCTCATACATCTCCGAGCTCCTTCAATTCAAATCCTCTGTTCGTTCCCGCAATACTCGTTCTCGGTCTTCTGATATATACATAAGGGCCCACAGAACCGCTGCTTTCGACAGATCTTTCATTATCCGATCCTCATCCCTTTGGAACTCCATCCCCTCTCACATTAGTCAATCCAATACCCTTCCTACCTTTAAATCCCGCCTGTTCAATCATTTCTTATCCATCCTATTCCCATGAAATTGTTAATAGATACTAATGTAAATATGTATATAAATTATTAGTTCGTTCTTCATTATTTTTACTTCATCCTTTTTTTTAAAATTTTTTTTTATTATTAACTGATTAAAATTAGAAAGTAATTTATAGTTTTTCATTTTTTTACTATGACTGTTTAATTATTTTATATTTTTATTTATGTATCTCTGAGGCTCCTTAGCCCTTATCTTTGTCTTTCTGTATTATTCTAAAGAGACTCGTCCCAGAATAAATAAAGTATTATTATTTTATATTTTATATATATATATATATACAGCGTGTTTCAGGGATAAGTTGACAAAATGAAAATATAAATTAAGGACCTCAAAATAAGAAAAAAAATTCCTATGAAGGTGTGTCCGCAAATGCTTTGTTTAGGACATATTCACAAATAAAGATTTTCATTGTTATGAATTATTTACGTTATATTAAGTAAATAAAAATTTATCAATTAAACTCTTTTATTAATTAAACGGAATATTAAATTCTTATTAAATGTTGTTCAAAGTAATTTCCTTGAGCATTAAGACAGGCTCGGCATCTTTCTTCAACAGGAGCAGTGGCAGAACGGTACTAGATTTGGATTATTGTTTCACAAGATCCAATTATCCTTCTTCGTAAGGAATTAAGGTCATTGACCGGACTTTCATAGAATATTTGTTTAATGACACTCCAAACAAAAAAATCCAGTGGTGTCAGGTCTGGAGAGCGTGCAGACCAAGCCACTGGTCCTGCACGGCCAATCCATTGATTAAGATAATTAACATTATTTCCAATCACACATTGCACTGAAACTGGTGCTGAAAATGATGCTCACGTGTTTCATAGGAATTTTACTGCGACCAGACATGATTGAAGATAACTCTTCTTATAAAGTTAGCTTAATATGTCCAGAGAATGTTTCCTGAAAATTGTGGTTTATACTCAACTTGATTTGAGTACCAATCAAAATTGTTCTCTTTGCCGAAAATCTTGCGGTAATAAATTGTATACTCATCGATGACGATATGGGCGAAGTCCATCTGCAATGAGAGTTCTCCATATTGTTGTTAATTCTGCTCCAGCTCATCTTACACTGCCAGATGGATTATCATCAAAATATTGTAATATGGTAGCACTCCTTTCTTCATTTCGTAAAGGGACAAAAATAACATCAGCACGTGGTATTATAGAAAATTTACCAGTTTCTCTAAGACTTTGAACGTGGAAGTAAAGATAGGCTGGCTTGGTAATCTTCTATTCGGAAATCGCTTGGCATATTCACGACTGGCAGCTTTAGCATTTCAAACACCATATCGGCATATTCACCATTAGTATAAATGGAAAGCATATGATGCGTACTCTGCGAATGCCTCTTAAAAACTGATAAATGTTATTGAGAGGTCCCAATGCTAATTCCAAATAGTATTAATCCTTATGTTGCTAATAGTTTTTATACAGTTAGGAATAAAAGGCCATATTAATATTCTATTTAATCCATCTCCTAAACAAAGCGTTTGCGGACATATCTTCACTTTCAACAACATTTAATATGAATGTTAATGTTTACATCTAATTAATAAAGTAGTTATTAATGAAATTTTTTACTTATTTTGAGGTCCTTAATTCATTTTTGCAGTTTGGACGCTTGACTCTGAAACATCCTGTGTATATAGAAGGCCTCTATATATTAATAAATAATAAATAAAATATAATATAATACCGTTAATAACTCCATCTAGATAATTCATCTGCATTACAGAATCGTAAGTAACAGCATCTTGGCCTTTAAGGACATTGTCAACTTCTGTTCGAACTTTATCCTGAATTTGGGGGTAAAGACTTAACTGATAAATGACGTAGCTCACAGTAGTCATTGTCGTGTGATGGCTTGCAATGAAGAAACCGAACACATGAGCGACAGCTTCAGGGTGTTCTATTCCTTTAATGAATAAAAAATAATATCAACAGAGAATGATTTTATTTAAAGACTGTTTTTTTTACATATTTTTATTAGTAAGTAATATAAATAATTACAGTGAAATAAGATAACCATAACGTAAAAAAATCTGGTGCGCACAACACACAACTTTCACTTACCGCTCAACTTTGAATAGAAATTATTTTCTGGCCATGTTGAGCAAATTTTTAATTGCATTTTTAACTGAGCTAAAGCTAAAATATTGCAGCTAACAAATCATAAATACTATTAAAATATCAAAAGTCCTATTTTTTATATCACCGGTATGGATTGTACGACTTTTAGTTATTAAACTGTTATTTTCCATTGCAAAGTTTATTAAAATGGAATTAAGAGATTTGCATTGTCACTCTTAGACACGTCAAAAGTTGTCACACAAATATCACAATATCACAAAGGGAAAATTTATCAAATTATTCACTCATTTAATTTTCTAAAAGGTTACATAATGATTTACGGAATAAACGAACGATAGATACCTAATTATTTAAATATAATGTTAGATCTATAGTTATTAAACTACAGTAAACATGTTTAAGGTTATGAACATATCCATGAAATATTTTTATATTTCACTTCTTCTTTCACATGAGTAGAATGAAATAGTATCTTAAACAATGTCATTGCCTTGAATCCGTGGGTTTTAATTACTTTTCAAACTTAAAAAAAAAAATATCAAGTTTACATTTAGAAAGAAAATTTCATTTAATTTTTCTTGAAAACATGTTATTATTTATATTTTTTCCGCCACACTTCGTTGCCTTCTACAACTTTCTATATTAGATATTGGTTTTTCTAGAATTCTCCGCTTTCCAACGATATGTTATCAGTATATCTTCTGACTAGTATTTTCGGAGATTTATTTTCGACCTGGTTAAGTATTTTTATTTTTTCTCCTATATTTAATTATCAAATTCTTCCAAAAGTTATGTAATTATTGTATTAAAACATGTATGTATTTTTTTTTAATAGTTATTTTGATTAGTTTAGTTTCTTTTAATTTATATACATTTACTTTTATTATTATTATTTATCGATAAATATAATCGACAAAGAAAACAAAAATTAATTTAAATCTTCATTTTTGTTTGGAACCAACACGTTTACAAATTTCAGTAAGCTGTATCTTTGCTAAAAATTGTCCGATTTCGATGATTTTTTTTTTCTTTTTGTAGAGAATTAAGTAATCTTTTATATAATCACGGGCATAATCATAATAAGGGAATAAAGTTTGTTTTCTTTCATAACTTTTTTGCCTGAATTTTTGGGATGATTGGACTATTTTGTCCGCCTGAAGGAGAAGGAAGACTTCCAAATTGGTGGCTCAATCTTGAGATTTGGTGAAAAATTGACGATGATATGGCTTGCCGATTAAAACACCATCGATAAATAATATAAACTCCTCCTCTCTCGATCATAGAGACCACAAGTCGAAGAAATGAGACATGTATTCAATGACAGTACTACAATTAATGTAAGGTTGTGTGGATGCGAACCCTATGCCTTGCGTTATCTCGAAAATAGTACGTTTTTGGGCTTAAAATCGCAGGATCCGATAGTTTCGGAGGAACTATCCGGGTCTTGCTGTACGCATCAAAATCTTCTAGATCCAATTTGTCCCGTATCGATCTACAGACCTACCACTGTTCAGGTATTGAAGCCTAGCAAAATGTTTGTATCGACTTTATTTATTTTAGAAAGAAAAACAAAAGTGGAGAATACGATTCGCTAACCCCCCGTGAAATTCTGAATCCAACGGTACCCCATTCATGGTATTTGAGCATGACAGAAGCTTATATTTGGTACAAAACCGATTTCGAGCCTTACTGTAATAATATATGCACGGATTACAATTTCGATCTTCTGTGAATAGGTCTAGCCAAAAATTAACTTTAATGTGGTTTGGTTCTTTTTTTTTTTTTATTATAATATAAACTTCGTATTCTGTATCCAATGTTTATATTTCAAAATTGATTTTCCATTGAAGAACATTCCTGTTCTAAGAGATGGTTCTTTCATTTAAAAAAATTTAAGCAATAATACCGTTCAAAACGAAGTGAAAATTATTTATAAGCAATTTATAAGCAAGAACTCTGTGAATTCTCTTCTTCTACTAAATGGTGCCAATTAGTTATCAGGTTTTATTGGCAAATAACATCTTTTTAGGAATGTAATTAGGAAATAATACTCACTGTCAGTTTCCGGAATGCCTTCTTTTTGCATTTTTCCAATCAGGGCGATCAAATCCTCCCGCTCTACTTTCTTCAAATTTCTCGAGTGCAAAAGTTCTCTAGTGAAGTTATTAAAATAGTCCCAATAGAGATGAGGAAAGGCTGATAGTCTCAATTTATGGTAGAGATTTGGAAAAACTACGAAGAGAAGATATCGGCGTATGGTAGATCCAGGAGGTCGGCTGAAGATTTCAGATAATTCCGATAACTTGGAATGTCTTTCTCGATCCTGATTCGAATCCAAGCCGTACAAAAAGGAAATGATGACTTTTAAAAGATGTCGTTCCATTATCTTTAACAGCTCAACCTCATCCGTCGACTTGAGTTGTTCTTCAAATTGTCTCAACAAAGAATTGTTGTGTTCCTTCAATATACTCGATAGTTCCCTCAATCTTTTCGGACTGAATAATTTTGAAAATGTCTGCCGTTTTGCTTTCCATCGTGCCCCGTACATGTTAAATAAGAAACCTAAAACAGCGTCGCTTTCTGTTCCAGTAATCAATTCCGGGTGGTCCATGAAATGGTTGAAATCGGTTTCAGTAATCGCTTTGATCAGTTCTGGATCGATAACGAACAATGTCGGCTTCAAGAAATTGTAATACCCTATGTAGGGCTCGTTTCTGTATTCCTTGTACCACTCGTGCATCACATTCGGCTCCGTGAACTTGAGGCTGATGAATTCTTTCATGTTGCCAATAATCATTGCTGGTTCTGGCCCTGGGACTCCAAGCTTCTTCCAGTAACTGTAGCGTCTTTTCAAAAATATGTACGCTGCTACAAACACGAGGCATATTAAGGATGTTATAAGCCCCAACATGATGATCTGTAAAATATCATAGACAATATTATTAATTCTTAAACAATTTAAATTATTGCGTATAGATAACACTTATATTTTACCTATATAATTGTGATACTGATAAATATATGAAGAAATTTTACATTTTAAGTTTATTGAAAAGAATACTCCCACATATTATTTTACGAAGACTTGAAATAATTTGTCCCTAGTCAGGCCAGGTCGGCGATCTCGGAGTGCCCCCGAGTCAGGGAGGCTCCGGAGGAGGTTCCTAAAATCGTTGCCTTATATTTTTCTAGTACCAATAAACATACAGCGTTTGGTCCCAAATCTATTTTTTTTTTTTTTCATTTTCACAAATATTTGAGAACTCTCCGGTGGATCCTAAAAATAATTTGTTATGCTTTTTTCAACCTGGGATGATTGAGATTATCTAGTACCATGATATGTTTTACCCTCAAAATCAGTGCCAGCCTTAGGGCAGGACAACCATGGCAATTACCCCGGGGCTCTGATCTGGAGCGGCGCCTTTTGGGGGCGCCTGCAAATCTTCAGGGGCGCTCGTCACTTGTCTGAAATTAGGGCACATTAAGGCCACATGCTTACTAAATGCTGTAATCTGCATTTGGTTTCGCGTCCACTGGCCATGTTATTAAAGATTGTGTTTGTTCCTATCCTGTGCAGCCGCCATCCAGCTCCTTACTCCCAACATGGACCTGTCATCACCGTCACTTTAACAAAGCCGAGGTTTCTACAACGCCATTCAGAGCCATTGCTTACCGACTTACCGAGCCCGTCTCAATATATCGAGCTTCATTTCACCACGTCTGGTTCTTTAAACAAATCTTTGACCTCCTTTTGTTTATCCGACGTTTCAATTATTGATCAACTTTCACAGCTCCTTTCTTTCAATTATTTACTTATTTTTAAAACGGTACGCAAAATTTTCCTTTCAAAGATCATTAGATTCTTCTTTCCAGTTTTCTAGATAGTCTATGTTTCTGAGTCATAAAGGGGTATCAGCTGGATAATTTTTAATACAATAAGATGTTTATTCTTCTGGTTAAAGCACGGCTCCTAAAATATGGACTGAGGCCATAATAACAACGATTGGCACATAGCACTTTTCGCTTGATTTCTGCATCCACAACATTATTATGAGTTATGAGGGATCCGAGATAAATAAAAAATTTGCACTTTTTCAATGGAGAATTCTCCGAAGGTAATGCTTTCGCCTGGTCAGGAGTTTTTCTTAGTGACCATGCATTTGGTTTTTGCACCGTTGACTTAAGAGCCATTTTTTTTTTTTTTTTGTTGTTGCTTCCACTAGTTTTAAGAAATCCATCAGAGACTACCTGTAAAGAGCGTTTAGCAATTTCGATGTCATCTGCATAAGCAAGAAGTTGCACTGTCCGACTGAATACTGTTGAGCCCACTTAAATACAGAATTTTTATTGACTTCTATAAAGCTCAATAGGAGAAGATGCCAGCGCATCTTCCTGCCTTAGTCCTTTTCCAGAAGTGAATTCTGGCAATCTTGCTCCTCCAAACTGCACCATGCATCTCAGTTCTCATGGTGAGTCTTACCATTCTAATAAGCTTTTATTCCAAGTTCTCTCATTGCCTCATAAAGCTGTTCCCTACGAACACAATCATAGGCTTCTTTAAAATCAGCAAAAAGATGATGTGTTTTAAACTTATATTCACGTCCTTTTTCAATCATGACGCGTAAGCAGAATATTTGGTCAATGGTAGATCGTCCTTTCCGAAAACCACACTGGTATAGCCCTAAGATCTTTTCTGCTTTCTGCGTAGGGGAGTAGTTGTTAAAAGAGAAAAATGGACAACATTTTACGCAAAAGAGAATAAGGCCTCTAGAATTACAGCAGACTAACCGATCACTCTTTTTATGGATTGGACATATTATCGATTTATTTCAAGATTTTTTAAAACTTAAGTAGTTCTGCAGGCAATACTTATTATTTCAATGGAACCTTATTATTTTTAAGTTTCGCTAGAGAATTCAAAATCTCCTCTTCATCCTGCGGTTCCATTGAATGAAATAATGGAAAATTAAAAAAAATGTTACTTCTAACTTCTTTCGAAAAATATTTGTTAATATGCCAAGAGAAATTTCTCTTCCATTCATCAAGAACATCCATCCTGTTGGTTAGAAGCTTACCATCTTCATTCAAGCAGTAGGTAGATTTGCTTTCAAAAAGGTTTTCTTGTCTGATTGACTGTTTTGAAGAATTCCATATACTGCTTATTTCTCCTAAGGAGTTCAGTATTTTCAAGTTCTTCCTTTTCCCATTTTCTTAATTTTAATTAATTTTACAGAATGATAATCTAGTGCAAATGTCCATCAGGTAACACAGTATTCAGCTGCAATAAGGTAGAGAATTTAGTTCTAAAGGTATATTTTGGAGAGCGATTAATTTGATGGTGTATTTAACGTCTGATTTATGACTTCAATAATAACACATTTTTTAAGAGTTAAATGTTTTCTGGTTACCTTGAACAAAGAGTGATGCTGAGATTTTTTTTTTATATGGAAAAACTACATAATATTCATGAAAAATTAAAATTATATACATGACAAAATAATGATTGGAAATCGTTACTCTGGAGTTAGAATAAGGACTTAATCGACTGAAAAAATTTAAAAAATGAAAAACATAAAGTCTTGTCTCTAACAGTGTAATTCTGATTTCATAGTATTCGGCTTACCTTGAGGTGTTAAAGTTGTACGTGATAAATAGATTTCTGCTAATCACTTATAAAACAGTGGATTACTATCCTGTAGTAATTTAATTAAAAAAGTTTGGCATCAAAATAAATATAAAGAAACAAACTACATATTCAGGATCCAACTTAAAAGAGCTAGCAACAAACTTACAGATACACATATATATATATAATCTAATCTCAAATTCAAATGTATGACCGTGAGAAATTTAATTAACATGAATTTGATATATATTTTTTCTTATATCGTTAAAAGGAACAAACAATGAAACATAAAATATACTGAGACGATTTCGTCAATCAGAGCGTTATTAATAGGCTCAAATGAGAGATGTTAGCATATACATGCGCATATAAATATATAATCTAAAAGCTTTTGAATTATTTAATTGGAAATTCATTTTGCTCTATGGTCAATCCATTTGAAATCACCCTACTTGAATTAATTTTGTTGTCTGAAATTTTTGATTTTTATAATTTTTTTTACCAGTTATTCCATATTTATTTTAGAGCGTTGTTAAAAAAAATTTAAGGCTCATCGTTTTTCTATTTAAGTTTAATTATTTTTTACATGTAGTCCTATCAGTGTACCACTTGCTGATGGAATTTCAATCTTGGAAACCTTGACGTGTTTTATATATGAAAATTAGAAAACGGTCATTATTCGTTTTCGGCGAGATTTGAATTTGAATATCATAAAAGGGCCTGAGTGGAAAATGATGAAACTTGTACATTTTATAACACCTTTTAATATGGGCATATTGATGAAATTTAGTTGGCTAAAGAGCCATATCGTATCAAATATGTCTGGAAATTGCCTTATTTAAAATATAAATCAGCCTATTAAATTTAGACACGGAATTGAATTTTACTTTGTCATTCTGTGACAGATTGTAATATTTTTCAATGTGTGTTTTTATATATACTAAAAAAAAAAAAAAAGTTTGTCATTACACAAACTATATGGCACGTATATAAATATTCACTGCATTGAAATCCACTGTCACATCAACTGATGAATTTAAGCGCTTCAACAGTGAACTTTATTATAGCGCTTCATCTCAACAACTTTATTTGTGATTGGGAGGAAACATTGTTTTAAAAATTATTGATATGTGTATTGACGTTTATTTCTAAACTTGAAATTGTTTCTATTCGAATTTTATTTGTTATTTAATTTTTTATTGTATATTAAAAACTATTTACTGCTAAGTATAAATAAATATTAATTTAAATAGAATCCACAAAGGTATAACATATGAAATTAAATGAAAAAATAATTTTATACTGCGACTGGAGTCCCCTAAGAATAATAACAGATATACAAATTGATGGGTCTTAGTCAGGCTTAGAGTAATAAAAAATATGAACTAATTAACTGTTGATTGTTATTTCAATTGTGCAATGGATTGAAATTAAACAGTATACAGATGCAAGTAATTTTGCATGTTTGGGGAAGTTTTAATGTGGAGTAGGTGGTGGAACAGGAGTTGTTTAAAGGAATTTGTGAACGAGGATTGACGTATGGAGGTAGGAAGAGAGTTCCAAAAGGAGGTAGGACGAATGACGAAGGATTTGCTCAAGAAAGTAGTTTTAATAGTACATAAATATTCGTTATTAAGGAATTCCTTACATTAAAACGCTGGATTACATATCAATGATTTTTTAAAACAGTGTTTACTCCAATCACAAATATAGTTGTTATGGTAACAGTTCACTGTTGAGGCGGTTACATGTATCTGATTTGATAGTAGCTAACAATGCAGAAAAAACTTGTATACCTACCATCAAATCTGTGTACTAATGAACTAAAATTCAATTCAGTGCCTCAATTTATAGTTTGAATGACGCAATTTCCAGACATATTTGATACGATGTAACTCCGGACCTGATGAAGTCTCAGTCACTAAATTGTTTCCATATGCCTCTATTAAAAATTTTTACTTAATGTACAAGTTTCATCATTTTCTAAATAGCGTTTATAATTTTTACCTTTACTTCCCCTTTGCCTGAAAATACTTATTTCTACTCAGATGATGGTGGGAAGTGAAAGTTGTGTGATGGAACCGTACCAGATTTTTCTAAAATGTTTTATTGAAATTTTTTTATTCTATTTATTTTTACTTTCACTTACGTGTATATATATAATATATAGTAAGGGTAAGTATTGCGATTGTGAAAATTTTGTTGAAAACTCAGATTCAAAAACTTTCACAATCGCAATACTTACCCTTACTATATATTACATATATAGGTAAGTGAAAGTAAAAATAAATAGAATAAAAAAATTTCAATAAAAATTTTTACAAAAATCTGTTGCGGTTCCATCACACAACAACCTTTAGTTCCTTCATTACAACTATTCTCCGTTACGATCTCTTATTTCTCCTTTTAAGTAATAATCAAATTCTTTCATATTCTATATTTAACTACTTTTTACATTAGAGATTAACGTGAAGTGGTCAATTGTTTCAAATAAAAAAAATAAAGGTACTTCAGGGAAAGCTAATATTGAAAATTAGTCATTTAAGCCCTGTTAGAGAACATCAATGGGAATAATATATACATAATATTAAAAACCTTTTTCGAGGATCTTGTAAAAATGTGTTTTATTTATGATATAAAGTGCCACTTTAGGTTATCCGATTTTAACGAAAAAGTCTCTGTAACATCTCAAGTACATTATAAAAACTTTAAATATGAAATTTCACTTTCAAACAACTTTTCATTTCATGAGCTAGACCTCTCACATACATACAGACATAGGCACACACACACACACACACACACACACACACACACACACACACACACACACACACACACACACACACACACACACAGCATTTTGCGGGACTTGGTCATTTGGACTCAAAACATGTATTTGCATTGAAAACTCAAATTCGAAAATTTTCCCGATCGTAATACTGCCCGTAAGTATATATTTTATACATAGGTAAGTTAATGTAAAAATTAGCTAACATAACATAATAATCTAACCTTTTAATTAAAATAAATTAAGAACAAGTAAGCATATTAATTTGTTCATAAATATAAATGAGTGTGTTCACATATTTATTATGATTAATAATATTGATGATATATAAGTAACAGTAACATAAAAGTCATATGAGAGTGGCAGCTCTCTAATGCAAAATTTTGTTCTTACATGTATTCGAAAGATTGCTAAGGAGGCGAAGAATAAATGTTGTTTAAATGAGATTAAGGAAGAGCATTTCCGTATAGAAGTTGGTAGGGAATTCCAAACTTTGATGTTGGATATTTCTGTGGGATGAAATGCTTTAGGTGGAAAGGACATTTGGAGAGGAGTATCCAGTTCTGATTCAATACATTCGATGTGGGTTGGATTAAGGATATCAGGGTGTGGATTGAAAATTTGGAACAGATGTTGACCGAATAACTGATTGTTATATTTAAAAGTATTTTTTATTATATATTCAAGAAATATATACACAAAACTGCTGCGATTTTCCGGAAGTATTGTATTCGCAGTTCATCCGATTCCAGGTAGATAGTGTCCGGGATCTTCGACGTCATAGCGCCAGCGAGGTAGGAATTTGTTATAACTAAACATTATATTATATTGGGATATCGAATACTGGGGGTTCCTTAATATTGCGACTAATATATCTGACATATCGAAAGATACAGCATAACTAAGGTTGAATATATCTACTATTTGAAGGTTGAATATATCTCCCATATCTACTATTTGTGATGTTAAAATATTAATCTCTAAATATTTGTTTGCATATATTAATGCCAATTATAAAGGTCGGGATAAAATATTATTTATACTTTTTCTTATGAAAAATTGTTATCTTAATTAGTCTTCCCTTGTCCCCATCCTCTTTGAGTTTGAACATTAAAACTGCCTAACCCAATGATGAAATAAAAAATTTAGGGAGGCTACAGTTAGGTTATAAGCAATAGGGAGGAATTGGCGGGTCTGGGACCTCTTAGTAAGAATGTAAAATAGACAAGTTGGAACCAATTGAGACAGACTCAGACCTGTCGAACTTAAAAATACAAATTAGGATTATGGATTAAGGATTAAGATTAATTAAAATAACCATATTGGTCAAGTGCAGGTGGCTTAAGGTAGGGATCGTCCAATTCTCTAATAAGTCCAATTCTCCTCCTCAAATTGAGAGATTAAAGTGTCTAGAACCTGAAATGGGCAAATGCTTTTCTGAGTACAGAGTACCAAGTATTTTATTCAAATACTGACCTTTTTGAGTATCAAAGAATTTAATCACTACTTCAGTTGATGTCAAACGATCAAGTAAGTATTAATTTAATTCACAGTAGTGATTCAATTTGATTACTCGAGAAGACAGTGGATCAGCTGATTGGAAGGTTGTGCTCTCAACTGATCCCTCAGTATTTGCCTATTTTTCAGCGGAATCTATCTGATTTTTCATTGAATACATTTCACGTATACATCAGAGCAGTTGATATTTTCTGTTTGATATCTTTTTTTTTTTTTTTTTTTTTATTTCTTCTCTTACGATATGCGGTATAGTCACCAAGTGATGTCCAGTAAGGTGCCCAAGAGGACTCGGTCAAACGGAGTTAGTACACCTCGTGGTTCACAATCCAAACAAAGAACTCATCACAGCCTACGAGAAATATCTCCAACAATAAAAGTGAACACTTCAAAACCAGAACGTCAGTCACAACCAGAAACTTCTCAAGAAATGATCGAAGAATCTCCTTTCTTTACTCCATACCTCTACCAAGTGCTTCAAAATTACCGAGAGGAAATGGAGACTGCAACTATACTCACAGAACCAAGGCCTCCTCCGATATTTGTGAAAAATATAGAAAATTTCCAGTTCTGCATCCAACTAAATAAAATCTGCTCTGGCAGTTATTCATGCCTTAACAGGACCAACGGTTCAAAAATAACACCAGATACTGCTGAAACCTACCAAATAATAGTAAAGTACCTCTCAGAAACGAATGTGAATTTTCATACGTACCAGCTTAGGCAGGAGAGATTGTTATGAGCAGTAATAAGGAAGACACCATTCCCTAATTGAGCACTGGTGTAATAAATGGCGTATTAAAGTAAAGTAATCCAAATTCCTACACATATCATGTATTTCCTACA